AATAAAAGGACATTCTGATTTTGATTACTCATAACTTCGTTAAAAATCTGTAAAAAATGTCGTCAAAAATTGTAAGTAATAAAACAGATTTTTAAAGCTGAAACGTTGCTGTATCAAGTCATATAATTTTCAATTAAAAAAAAATAGAATATATGTACATTTGAGCTAAAAATGTGATATTATTATTCTTTTTTCCATTGCACAATGGTTATACTGATAGTAATATCACATTTTTAACTCAAATTTCTATATACAATATATTAGGTGTAGTAAAAAGAAATCTATTATTTTTCCAATAGATGGCTTTAGTAATCTGTATCTCGCGTTTTATAAGTGTGATCGGGTTACGCCAAATGGCGTTAGAAAGATAAGATTTCGTACTAAAAAAACTTCTCAGATAGTTTTGTGATTGCTTGAGTCAGTATTGTTTGAGCGCGTGTCAAAGATGGACACCAACAAAGAGAAAATACGCCATATTTTACAGTTTTTCTTCGATAAAGGCGAAAACGCAAGCCAGGCGGCTGAAAATGTGAATAGTGTTTATGGTCCTGATACTGTAACAGTCAATATCGCGCAATTTTGGTTTCGTCGATTCCGTTCCGGTAATTTTGATGTCAAAGATGCACCACGCTCTGGAAGGCCAATTGTCGAAAATGTCGATAAAATAATGGAAATCGTCGAGTCCGACCGTCATGTAAGCACTGTTTCGATTGCCCAGGAGCTAAACATTGCACAAAAAACCGTTTGGAATCATTTAAATAAGGCTGGATACAAAAAGAAGTTCGATGTATGGGTGCCACACGAGTTAACGCAAAAAAACCTCATGGACCGAATTTCCATCTGCGAATCGCTGCTGAATCGCAACAAAATCGACCCATTTCTGAAGCGAATGGTTACTGGTGATGAAAAGTGGGTCACTTACGACAACGTCAAGCGAAAACGGTCGTGGTCGAATCGCGATGAGCCGGCGCAAACGGTGGCCAAGCCAGGATTGACGATCAGGAAGGTTTTGCTGTGTGTTTGGTGGGATTGGCAGGGAATCATCTACTATGAGCTGCTCCCCTACGGCCAAACTCTTAATTCGGACCTGTACTGTCAACAATTGGACCGTCTGAAAGAAGCAATCGCCCAGAAGCGGCCAGCTTTGGCCAATAGGAGAGGAATTGTGTTCCATCAAGACAACGCCAGGCCACACACATCGATAGTGACTCGCCAGAAGCTCCGGGAGCTTGGTTGGGAGGTTCTTATGCATCCACCTTATAGTCCGGACCTGGCACCAAGTGATTACCACCTGTTCCTGTCTATGGCGAATGATTTTGCTGGTGAAAAATTCGCCTCAAGAGAAGCTTGTGAAAATCGACTGTCCCAGTTTTTTGCCAATAGGGACGAGGGTTTCTATGAGAGAGGCATAATGAAATTACCTTCAAAATGGCAACAAGTTATCGAACAAAACGGTGCATATTTGACCTAAATCGGATCATTCTAACTATGCTAAATAAAGCCTTCAATTTAATGCAAAAATAATAGATTTCTTTTTACTACACCTTATATTTTACATTTAAAAAATTAACATGATACTATTTGATAGAGCAACGTTTCAGCTTTAGGAATCTGTTTTTTAATTGCAGTATGATAATTTTCAATGTAGTTATAAGGAATAAAAATCAGAATGCTGCTTTTTACTTAACTCGCGAATAACTCAAGAATAAAAAATCGTAGAAATATTTTCAAAAAATGATTTTATAAGGAAAAACTTCAAATCTTCATAATATAGATAGTGAACAATTTTCGCAAATTTTTTTCGCAGGTGACAGATCTACAAAGTAAAAAGAAAAATTTCCTTTTTTTCATAGTTCTATTTCATAGTTTTTTATATAGATATAAAAATTACAAAATTTGCATAAATTTAAAAAATATAGTAACCATTCGAATGTAGAGATTTTATACTTTAAAACTTCTAAATTTAAATTTTGTTCATTTTTAATGAAGATATTGTATTGTATATTGTAATTTTGAGCTAACAAAATATGGCAAAACTTTTTCTTCAACCCAATAGTAAGAATTTTTGAAGAGTATGCATATTTCTGTTTTTTTTCTTTTTTTCTTTTTTTCCTATACCCCAAGGGGTTGACTGTGCTCGTAGGAGTTGCTCAATAGAGTGTATCAAAAAATAAAGAAGTCGCAGTTTTTTTTTTGTCCAAGTGTGAGAAAGTTGTATTTCGGAGTCAATATTAATTATGCCAAATTTCAGCCCAATCGATTAATATTTTCTATTCCGACAAGAACCACAAAAATTCGAAATTTTTGTGAAAAGTTTAAAAATTAGAAAGATAGTCTCTCGACGTTTAAAAAGAGAGGAATGAGGGAAAGAGAAAAAATATAATAGTGCATTCAAGGTCCTCCTCCACTCATTATCCACCGCCAAGGTCCTCCCTGCACTCTGCTCTTTTGTTTGGCAGGGAGTCCTCTTCCCCATTATCTTTGTATGCGGCGACTGAGTCTCGACTAGTCGAAAACTGCTCGCACTCAATTGTTCATTGTTTCTTTTTTTGTATTAAGCTAATTTTTGTCGTCGAATTCCAACATATATTGAGCAATTTGTTTTAATTTATGCTGCTGTGTTGTACTGTTTAGTATTTACATTAACAATACACAACATGAATCTTAGCAAACCACGGAAATTTTCATTTCGTGGAGCTGTTGCTTGTCCACTGTTTAGACTACTAAGAGATATTAATTCTCCAAGAATCCTTCTTTCATACAAAGATGTTATCTCATGCTGTTTGTACAAATGATGAGAACTTGGCTCTAGTCAAAACTAAAAAACGGGTGGTAACAGAAAAGCCAAATTTTTAGATGTAGTAGACAAAATTGTTACAAAGTTACAAGAAATTGATCAAAAATTTATTGCAATAGTTACTCGACAGCAAATTACTGCCATGATCCAATCATATCATATATTAAAATCAAAGACGTACTAAAACGGAAGCAAAAAAATTGTTTAATATCTCAGCCTACAAATATCCTGGTTTTAATAACGAGCTTTGTCATTGCTTTAAAGATAAAAAAGTACACAAACTTGAACAAGCTTTTCTTACAGACCAAAGAACTGAAAGAAAAATGTTTATAAGTACGGTAGATGTACAATTAAAACTTTAAAACTGCAAAAGAGACAAGAGCACAAGGCTCAGAGAAACCTTTATTCTTCTGCATTTACGTCCTTAGACGTTTTTTCATCAAAACTGTCAGAGGATACTCCCGAAGATGATAGTAATAACACCGACGATGAACTGTATTTGCAGTCTTGTCCAGGTACGGGTGAGGATGATGAATTCAAACCAAATCGTGGTGTCAATTCATCAAAACAGATGCGACTGCAGCTCATCAACTCTGCTCAGATAGACTAGAGGTTTGGCATTACAAACAGAGTTGTTGCAGCTTATGATTCAGCTCTGCTCAAGAATGTAGGACTTTTATTTAAAACACTTATTATTGACAAGAACAAAGTATTTAGAGAGAAAAGAGTTAACACACAGGAAAAGAGTTAAGTTTCACAGAAAAACATGATGACAATGGTTTCTTTACTGGTTACTTTAATGGTCGTCATGACATCATGCTTTTTGAGGAAAAACATGGCAAATACTTCAAAAGAATAATTAATGAAGACTACTACTCTCTAGTAAAAGAACCAGGACCACAGTATAATTGCACACGTTTCTCCGAGGTCTGGCAGTAGTGCAGATATATTAGACAGCATTTGTACTTACGTCGATGATCAGGTGGTGTAAATATTCGTTGGCTGCAACGGGACGAATACAGATATTAATGGAGGCATTATCAGACTCTTGGAAATCAAATTAGGCAGGCGACTTTAATGGATCACTTATTTTTTACGTTTCAATGAACTATCTCTTCGACATCTTTTTATCAATATTAATGGCCCAACATTTGGACCAACGGGTTACTGGTCTAATTGATAAGATTCTAAAAGGTTGCGGAGAGCGTCTTTCTGTTAAATTTCAAGCCAAAGAGTGATCTTCCCGATGATGACCCTTCTCTTCTAAGTAAAGATCAACAATATTTACTTAGAATCATTTCTGCTATTAAAG